CAAAATGTTACATCTTGACATAAGCCTGAGTGAAATGATGAGCCAGTGTGTGAGAAACTGATCTCATCTGAAAAAGAATTGGAGGCAGTAGAAAACTTTCTGCACAATGTTGGTGGGAGAGCTAGTGGTGAGGCAGGTGTTCAGTCATGAGTGAAGGACAGACATGAACATTAAATACATTTCATAAGATATTCAGGCTAAGGAAAGTTCATGTTTGATTTAAACTCATATCTACAGGAAAGAAAGAAGGCCTGACAGGAAATGGTAAACATATGGATCCAGAATGTGTAAACCATACATTCCCACATAACATAGATGGTAAAAATCATCAATGATAATCAAATGCCTTTAAATAGGTGATTTTATAAATTGTATACCTTGTCTATTTATGTTATTTTAATTCCATATAGTAAATTACTGAGGTGATGCTGATAGGAATATGTTTGGCTATAAATGTATATGTAGAAAAGTTGGTATAAAATCTGTATACTATACCCACTTAGACTCTAAAACTTATGGCAAATACAGTACAAAGGAATCCTAGAATAAAGGAATAATGAACCACAGATCTTTGTTCAAACTGAGTTGATAAACATATATAGGCTGGTTAGGAAAAATGGCACATTATAGGTATTATGTGCTAATCAGTGAAAATGTTAGGACCAGATAGTTTGATGATTTGCAGTAAAATTATCAAAAATTACTAAAGAAATAGGTAAAGAAAATAAAGAAAACATGCTGGACTTTTTATCATTTAGAAACATACAATTGATAATTAACAATCTTCCCACATGGAATTTCAGTCATGGATATTTTCACTGGTCAAATATTTTGAAATAGGTGTACAAATAATCACAATTCTATACAAAGGAGAAAAATATATGTCCTAGTTTTCTTTGAGGCCAGCATTAGCTTGATTCTGACACTACACAAAAATTCAAGAAAGCAGCAGAAATAAAGCTTCTTTTACTCTAGCCAACAAAACATCTAAAATATCAAATAGAATGTGGCACAATATTTTAATCATTCCCATATATACTATGAGAGTAAGGAAAATGATTTAATACTCAATTTAAATAGAAATTAATATCAAAAGTAATTTGACAAAATTCAATTCCACTTAATAATGATAACATCAGTCTGGACTAAACAGGCCCTTTTCAAGACAAAATCCACTCAGATTACTGTTACATAAACATACACACCAAATCTGATTTAGTTCCTGTTTTGAAAGTAGTTATATTGGAATATAGCCACCCCTTGATGGGTATGTCCTGTATCTACTATTATATTACGAGGGTAGAGCTAAATAGCTACAGAGATCCAATGGGGCCGACAAAGCCCAAAATATTTACTGTCTGCCTCTTCACGGAAAAAGTTTCTAAACTTTGGTCTAAATGAACCCAATTCCAGGGAAGAAGATTTTTCTAGGTGAGCAAATACCAGTTGAGAAGGTTGACCCAGTTTATATTTCTAGGACAAATTTTTCTTTTCCTTACATACTCATCTCTTACAAGTAGTTTATGTTCTGTTTTTAGTCATCATGAATTTGATATATTAACAAAAGCTGTGTTAAGGGAAAGATTAAATCATTCATGTCTTTAAGTCTTGGTAATATAATATTGGAAAACAACTGCTTCAGTAACTACACTTCAAAGCCAGTATCTAGAGTGCAGGTTCAAGTATTAAAGTAGTTAAGAGCACTTGCTGCTTTTTGCAGAGGGCCTGGACTTATTATTTCTCAGCACCTAACTCTGTAAGTTCACTTCTAGGGCTCCCATGCTATCTCTCTCTGGCTTTCTGTGGCACTGCACATGCATGGTGTTCATGCATACAGAAGGCAAACATCCCAAAATAAACAAAATTTTAAGATAAAACAACACCAAGAGAAATTGAAGCCCAAAGTATTTAAACTTGTTATATTTCCATCTGCAAGTTAAGTGTTGACTATATGCAAGCAAGGATGGAAATTTAAGGCACTAACTGCCCTTTGGGAGACTTACTGTTTCTCTCAACCTAATGGTGTCCATGTACAGATGTGTTTGCCTTGTGTTTTATTAGAGATGGAAATACCGCCAATGGTCACCAACTGGCAATCTGTGGTTAATTTGGCACACCTCTGAGATGCAGGAAACCAGTATTCTTAGAAGTTTAACAGCCCAAACTTATATACTAATTACATATGCCTCAAATTGTACAGGTTCTGTGATATATCATCTATGTTCTGATAGGTTTACACTATAGTTATATCATTGATTATCATTTGTCATTCCTCAAAAAAGTCAACCATATATTTACTCTGTTACATCTTTACAACTTTTTTTTTTAAAAAAGGTGTTTTCCAGAAAGGAAGCATGTTGGATGAAAAAGCTTGTTTACTCCCTTCACATCTAGTAAACCAGCTTTTAACCATTCATAGTAAAGTATAGGATAAATTATCCATTGTGAAACATTCATTCCACATACCACAAAGCTTCAACATGATGCTTCATTTACATTTAATCAAGTGTTTTAATGTCAGTGTAATTTGATGGAATTTGTAAACAAAAAATATGTTGTAACACTAACTTTAGTGACAGTAACTTTATCAGAAGTATAATGTGAAGAAGTGAAAAGTTTTTTTCTTTTATATTTAATCATTTGTTATCAATTTCATAACCATGGCAAACTCAAAGTTCTAATGGAAGCAAAATATAATGGAAGAATTTGAAAGAAGACCTTTGCATTCCTAATGGTCTCTTCCATGAAGAACTTCACTAAATTCATTTGTTTTCAGTGAACTTCACATCTTATTTGTCATCTCTACTTCTCAGACTAATCTATCCAAATTGTTTCCATCAGAATAGGCTATAGTTAGTAACAAGTTAGGATCGTAATCTCAATGCTTGTACACAGTAGAGATCTACCGTGGCTTATGCCTTGAGCTATCCTCTACTATCTAGAATGGTTTTCTAGCTATATTATCTACACCAGTGGATTTGAAGCTCCTCAGTGTATAAAATGATAGACAGTTTGCTCATAGCCTGTAGATCATCTGTAATCACATGGCGCCAACCTAAGTAGGAAGAAGGCTAGAAAATATAAGGGTAGTACACGAGTTATTTGGAGACAATTTGTACCCCAGTCAGTTACAGCTTTCTTGTTTCTTATGTCTAACTAAAGCAGCCACATTGCTTGGGAAAACAATTTTACTACTTTTTAAGTAGCCTCTATTTTACACTAAATGAAATTAATCTCACCTATGTAAGTTGTATATGATATGGCTCTTGCCTTACTCTTATGATTGGCATTTAGTACTACTATATTAAGTACATTTTAAATAGGCACTTTTACTTTGTTCATATTTATAAAAATGTGATTTTTTAAAAACATGTACAAAATTTGCAAAATTATAATACTGACTGTAAATTGTAAATGTAATAATGCCAAGAAAACCCCTGCCACATATAGTATTTTCATTCATAACATGCAATTAAAATCTTTTGGAAATAGCCTTTTAGAAATATTAATATAAAATCTTACTATCATTGCTTTATTTGACAGGAAATTATTTCTTTAATATTTTTTTGATTGAGATATGAATATTCCATTATAAACATTATTATTGTTGTTTTCAAGACAGGGTGTCACTATGAGGCATTGGCTGTACTGATAGTTACTATATCAACCAAGCTGTCCTCTATCGAGCTCACAGAGCTCTACCTGCCTCCGTCTCCTGAGTGCTGGGATTAAAGGCGTGTTTTACGACACTTGGCCTTCTTGTTTTGGTTTCTGTTATACACTTTCTAAACTTTAGCTTTTTATAGTAGTTTTGGGTTCACAGCAAAACTGAGTAAATATCAGAATTCTTGTATAATCTCTGCCCCCACAAATTCACTAATCAACATCCATACCAATTACAATTACTGTTACTATATTGATGTTATTACCACCTGTAATTATCATTGTGGTTCATTTTGGGGTACATCCTGTGGTTTTGATAATAAATACAGCTCAGTACTTAATTTTAAAAACATAAAGGGTCATATGTTTTTCTGTTGCACATTTATTAGTTCTGGGTTATACCTTTACTTTTTTGGTGCTATTTTTTCCTTAGTAGCCATAACATATATGCAGTGGACCTAGCTCAGACCCACACAAGCTTTGTGATTGTTGTATCAGTCTCTGTGAGCCCCTGCTTAGTTGATTCTGTCCACCATGTTCTTCTGAGTCCTCAAACCCTCTGGCTCCTACAGTTCTTCATCCTCTGACCCCAGAGCTGCACCCAAGGTTTGGCTGTGGGTATCTGTATCTGCTCCCATCAGTTGCTGGATGAAGCCTCTCTGATGACATCTTTGCATTGTTTTTTTTTGTTGTTGTTGTTTTGTTTAAATTTTTTTTCCCAGTCTTGTTTGGTTCTATCCTACGTGTCTGGTCCTGGTCCTGCAGGAAGTGTCAGGTGTGGGCTCTCTCTTGTGGTGTGGGCCTCAAGTTGGTCCAGTCATTGGTTGGCCGCTTCTAACATGTTCTGAGCCACCATTAGTCCAGCACATCGTTCAGGCAGGACAAATTGTAGAGTGAAGGTTTTGTGGCCAGGTTAATATCCCAGTCCCTCCACTGGAAGCCTTGCCTGGTTATAGAAGATGGCTGGTTCAGGCTCTGTATCCTCCACTATAGAACAGATTTTACAGAATGTTGGAATTATCAGTTTTGTTTCATTTTCCCTATTGTTTCAGCCCTATGCAAGCCCTTAGAATTAATAACATATTAAATGACATAGGGATTACCTACCTACTGTTGGGTGCATAATATTGACTAAAGGCAAGTACTTGTGTAATAGCATGGTAAGAAATCAGATTATGTACTTTGTTAAGAAGTCATCCTGCCATCTTTGATGTAGTGTATGTAGATAGTTTGGAAAAGAAAGGGGATTTCGTGAAAGTAGTCAGGGAAGTTTGAAGAGCACTTTGAAGAACTGACTGACTTTGTGCTTTGACTAACAGTGTTTGCTTTGTTCACAGTAACTCTAGTACTGAATGGAAGTGGCTTGTAGACAGAGCGCAAGTTGGCAGCCGATGGACTTGGCTTCAAGCTCAGATTTCAGAACTAGAATACAAAATCCAGCAACTAACAGATATTCACAGGCATATTCGTGCCTCCAAGGTATTATCAGTGTTGTTTTATTTTTGTTTTAAGTTGTTACCTGTATAATTTCTCTTCATTTCTTCACACAGAATAACTTTTATTAAGTTTCATCATACATTAATTTCTTAAAGAGATGCTAAATTTGTGAAGCCTTTATTTATATTTGGTCATACTTTTTAACAATTAAGAACTAAGTTCCAGTTGATAAAAATAGTATACATTTTTTCAAAAATTATACTATTGTCATATATATCACATTTTACTACCTTTATCATTTTTATGTGTATAATTTTGTAGTATTAAGTACTTTAATAATCCATTTCCATAACTCTTTTCCTCTTTTAAAACTGAAAATTCTGTATCTACTAAACAATGACTGCCCAGTTTTCCTTCTCCCTAACCTTAACAACCATGTCTATTTACAAGTATCTCATATATGTAGAAACATGATAGCACATAGTAGCTTATTTTATAGCTTACTGACTTTCCATTTTATGTACATTGTAGTATAAATTTGAATCTCTTTCCTTTTCAAAAACTGAATAGTTGTACATCACATTTTGTTTATCCATTGATCTAGTGACAGATTGAAGTTGTTCCACGTTTTAACTGTTGTGAGTATACTATGAATAGAGTGCAAAAAAAAAAAAAATCTCTTCATGGCACTCTTTTCAGTGAAACATGATTTGTGCCTTTAATCACAGCACTTGGGGAAGGGAGGCAAGTGGATTTCTTTGAGTTCAAGGTCTGCTTGCCTGCATAGTGAGTTCCAAGTCAGCCAGGGCTCTATAGTAGAGAGCCTTTCTCAGAAACAAACAGAAACACAGCATTTGTTCAGTTCTTTGAGCTATACATCTAGAAATGGAATTACAGGATTTCATGGTAATTCTGTTTTTAATTTTTAATGAATTATATTATACATTTTTCCAATTACTCACATGTTGTGGCCAACATTTTGGGTTTTGCTTTTAAAGATAATCATACTGGATGTAAGGTGATGTCTCTTCAGTTTTGATTTACATTTCCTTAATATTATTATTATTAATGATTTTGAGCATATTTTTTATGTTTACTGGTTATTTATATACTATAAAGAAATATTTATATATCAATTATTTTGCCTATTTCTAATTGGCTTTGCTGTTGCTGAACTTTATAGGGTTTTTTGTATATTCTAGATAATAATTGTTTCTCTAATGTGTGACTTTCAGATCTTTCCTACCATTTTATTTTTACTTTTTTTATATTATTTTTATGATGTCTAATTTATCTATCCTATTTTTATCTGTGCCTTTTGTGTCCCTATGTTTTCTTCAAGAGTTTTATAGTGTTAGGTCTTATAGGGAGATAATTGGTCCATTTTGAGTTAACTTTTGTATGTGTAGTTAGAGTTTAACTTCCATGCTTTTGCATGTAGATCTCCAGTTTCTCCAGGCCTAAATTAGTTGAAAAGAGTTTACTTTCTCTATTGAATGGTTTTGATGCCATTCTCAAAATCATTTGACTGTATATGCAAATATTTTTCTTTGTTCTATTGGCGATGAACAAAATTTCTTTGTTCATTTAGGTAATGATTACATTATTTTAATTATTCTAGTCACTATAGTATCAAGGAGTCTTCCAGTTTTTGGTTTATGTTTTTGTTTATCAAATGAAAACCCATCATGACACAACATGAGGCACAGTGAAGGTAGTGTGAAGGGGAGAATACTCCAAGACAAAGAGCCTCTATGCAACAACCTAATTTCAAATGTCAAATAACCATTAGAAAGGGCAGTCAGACCCAAAAGCTAGCAGAGGGAAGGAAATAATACAAGGAGATAAATGGAGGATAGAAAAAAGTCAAAGGTTTGGAGGTTTGCTTGGTTGGTTGTTATTGAGAAAATTCTGTAGCCTGGCTGCCCTCAGCCAGCCTTCTGCTTCAGCCTCCTGAGTGTTCAGTTATAAGTTATGTGCTACCATTCCAGCTTCGAGAAAATCACTAAAACCACAGTTGGTTCTTTCAGCCAGATTTTGTGGTATATACTGATAATTGCAGCACTATCAGGACAGAGACAAACCTTTTTTAATTTATTTCCTTTCCTCCACTAAGCTATTAAGTTGCTGAAGTAAGATGTGCTCATGCCTGGGTCTTTAGTTTTGTTTCATTGGCTCACATGTCTGTTTAAGTGCCAATACACTGTTTTTATTACTATGGCTCTGTAATAAATCTTAAAATCAGGAATTTTAATCCCCTCAGCATTGTTCTGTTTGTTCAGAATTGTTTTGTCTATCCACGGTTCTTCTGTGGTTCCATATGAAGTTTAGAATGCTTTATCTGTTTCTGTAAAGAATGAGATGGGGATTTTGACTTACTGTGCACTGAATGTGTAAATATAGTTTTGTAGAATTGTTATTCTGACAATGTTAATACTAACAACCCACGAGCAATGGTGTCTTCCCATTTTCTAATGTTTGCCTCTTTTTTCAGACGTTTAAAGTTTTCATTCTAGAGGTTCCTCATTTCCTTGGCTTGGTTTTTTTCCTAGATATTCTCTGAGACTATTGTGAATGGGAGTGTATCCATGATCTCCTTCTCTTTACATTTGTTGTTTGTATATAGAAAAGCTATTGATTTGTGCAGGTAGGTTCTGTATCCTGCCATGTTGTTGAGTTTATCATTTCTAGAAGTTTTCTGATAGAATTTTTAGAATATCTATATCATCTGAAAAGAGGGATAGTTTTACTTCTTTTCATAAGAATATGTTTCTAATTTTTTCTTCATATTTTAAGTTTTAGTAACAGAGGGTCTCTTTGGGAAAATGTACAATGTATACTTGGGAATCTATATGCTGCTGTTGGATAGTTCTATGTATGTCTGTTAAATCTATTTAGTTCAATGTGTTACATCTTGTGTTTATTTACTTATCTACGAATAGTGAATTACTATTGTGGAATTATTTCTTAATTTTATTTTTTCCTTCATGTATTTTGATGGCCATTTATTAGCTGTATAAATATTTATAATTATGTCTCTACTGACTGACATTAGTATAGCTATCCTGTTCTCTTTTGATAGCTATGTGTGGTTATGTTTTTCTATCAATTTAAGTTTATTATATCCTTGTATTAAGTATATGTTCTAGACAGGTTTACAATGATACATTTTTATTCACTTCTACTATCCTGTGACTTCTGATTGGAGAGTTTAATTTATAATCATAGTAATTACAAGAGTTAATTTACTTTTGACATCTTGCCGTTTGTTTTCTATATGTTGTATGACTTTTTTGTGACTCATTTCCTGTATTACTGTCCTATTTTTGTTCATTATATTTTGTAGTTCATTTTATCCTAGGGCAAGGTTTCACTGTGAAGTGCTGGCTGGTGAGGAAGTTGATATGTAGATCAGATTGACCTTGAGCTTACAGAAGTTCTTCTACTTCTGCCTCCCAAGTACTGGGGTTAAAGATTTACAGCACTGTGCCTGAATTTACTTATTTTTGATGTTGAAAGTCCTTCTGCTTTTCCTCTGTGTATATACTATAATTATTTTCTTTGTGGTTACTAATTGAGATTGCTTCTAACTTTACATAATTTTAGCATTCTAATTTGAATTTATAACAGTACAATTTCAACAACATATAAAACCCTCTTCCTTTATAATAAAATCCCATGTTTATGTCTTTTATGCCACAAACATAAATTAATAATCTTTTAAATATACTGATCTCTTAAATGATAATAGAAGACAATGGCAGAATCACAAACTATTATTTTACTACTGCTAGCTTTTTATTTCCAACTTTTTTTCCTCAAAAATCTCCGTGCTGAATTTGTCTTCCATGTTTCTCCTGTATGTTGCTCTCTTTTCTCTGAGGGTCATAGATTGATTTCCTTATTTCATTAATCTATTTGAGTTGTCTTTGAAGTCTTTGATCACTTTTGCTAGTAAACTTTTTAGATATTTATCTGGAATTTTATCCTTTCTAGTATTTTTTTAATTTAGTAGGTATTACTTTTTGGAGTTGCTATAGTGGGCTCTTGGTTTGTGCATTTCTACATTCACTTTAGTTTGGATATCTCTTCTAGTTTGGGGATATCTGTTTAGTGATTTGCATAATCCTGTGTACTCAATCTCCAGTTCTACGTTTGATATGGCTCATTTTTCCTTTCCCCCTCCCTCTGCAGGGTAGGTGAAACTGTTGGCTTTTCGTTCTTCTTTTCAGTCTATAATTTGTTTCTCTGTAATTTTCGAGTGATCCATCAATTTTTTTTTTTTTTTGACAGATTTCCAAGCTCTGTTTCTGCCCTTTCTGTACTATGGCACAGGCATATAGAGACATTTCCCCTCTGTGTGTGTGTTTGTGTGTGTGTGTGTGCACGTGTGTGTGTGCGCGCGCGTGCTGGCGCATTCCTGTATATAAGCTCTCACAGGTTAGAAAGTATGATGGATCCCCTGGAGCTGCAGTTGTAGGTGGTTGTAAACTGCCCAATCTAGGTTCAGGGATCCAAACTTAGTTTCTCTGCAAGAACAATGCATGCTCTTAACTGCTGAGCTACCTCTCCTGCCCCAGTCAGCCAGTTTTGAAGAGAGAAACTATTTTCAATTTACATGTTTTCTATGAGGACAGTAGGATGTGATCACTTTTACTGTTTTTTTTACCCCCTAGGGAATAGTGATCTTAGAAGAATGTCCACTTCCAAAAGACATTTTGAAAAAACAAATACAGTTTTCAAACCAAGCAGTTTCATTAAACACTTCAGTGAATTCTCAGGCAACCCAAAGGGGCGAAGAGCCTTTGCCAGAGCATGATTTTGAAATGTCACCAAGTAGCCCTACACTACTTCTTCGAAACATAGAAAAACAGGTAAGCTTAGAGTCTTTTTCATGAATAACTTGAGATTTTGCTTCTTAAACTCTTTAATAGGGTTAGATACCACATATCCTCCAAAAGATACTTGTGTTGTTTAGCAGTAGTCTCTAGCTTATAGACCCAGTCCTTGAGATTGATTGGATCATGAAGGTCCTGACTAGATCAACCCAGTAATAGATGTGTAATTTGTTAGAAGTTATAAGCTAGGGTCTTGTTGGACAAAGTAGGAAACTAGAAATACATTTTTAATAAACAAACACTATGGACAAGTAGGCTTCATTTTAGTGAAACAAGGATGGTTTAGTATATGCAAATCAATAAATACAATATAGCATATAAGTACTCAGGAAAGAAATTAAGTAACTTAATGATACTTAACTGTACTAAAGTTTTAACTGTTCCTTTGTAGAGTGCACAGTTGACTGAGATCATTAACAGTTTGATTGCCCCTCTCAACTTGTCTCCAACTTCATCACCCCTCTCCTCTAAATCCTGTAATCACAAATGTCTGGCTAATGGCATTTCAAGGAGGTAGGTATTACTTGAAGAGTTTGGCTTCTAAATTTGGCTTATTTTAATTTTATTGATCTATATCTGTTACAGCCATTTTTCTTCACTATGGGCTACAATAGTAAAATCAGTAGATCATGGGTAGAGTTTAAGACATAAGTCAGTTCATAGGATTAATGTAATTATAAAACCTTTCCATGAGGAAGTGTAATTTCTAGGAATTTTAATGCTTCTAAAAATCATACTAGTGATAATATTAGCTATGGAAGTATTTCCTTATTACTATGATTTCCATTTTGTACATTTTTTCCTTGCTCTCCAGTTTACTGGAACTTAAAAAGGAAAGACCCTATTAATTATTAATATTAATAGAATGGCTATTCCATTCTTAAATTACATTAGTGAATATAAACCAAGCATTAAATAAAAAAATCTGATTATTCTGAAAACTTGTTTTATTTATTTTTTGTGGGGAGATGGCTTTTTCTGTGGCTTTGGAGCCTGTCCTGGAACCTGCTCTGTAGACCAGGCTGGTCAAAACTTCAGAGCTCCATCTACCTCTGACTCCTGAATGTTGGGATTAAAAGTGTGCTCCAACACTGCCCAGCTAAAAGCTTGTTTTAAAATATTTCTACAGTTTTATTTATGTGCAGTCATTTTTCCCAGGTTCTGCCATGAAAAATAGTTTTTCTACTGATTTTGCTTCCTTTTTGACTTGGAAAGTAAGACTTGCTGGTTGTACAGAGCAACTATAATAGTCTCATTTATAAGAATCCTGGTTTGGAGACTCATGGTGAAAGTCAGTTACAAGTTGAGTCATAAAATGATGACTGAACATTGTGGTTTCAGGCCAAATGCATTTTCTGTAACATTTTGCTTATCTAAATTATGCTTATTACCATGACTGTATTATTGGACACACACACACACACACACACACACACACACACACACATACACACACACACACAGAGTTAGGGTTTCTATTGCTGTGAAGAGACACCATGGCCACTGAAACTCTTATAATAAAAGCATTTAATTGAGGTTACAGCTTACAGTTTCAGAGGTTCAGTTCATTATTATCATCATGATGGGGAGCATGACAGCATGCAGACAGACATGGTGCTGGAGAAGGAACTCAGAGTCCAACATCCCGCAGGCAACAGGAAGTCAGCTGAGACACTGGGGAGTATCCTGAGCATAGCAAACCTCAAAGCCCGCCCCCACAGTGACATGCTTTCTCCAATAAGGCCTTACTGCAACAAAGCCACATCGCCTGATAGTGCCACTCTTTATGAGATTATGGGGGTCAGTTACATTCAACTCAACACACACACACACACACACACACACACAAACACACACTCAGAGTAATATAAAGTCACATAATTTGTACACATCTGAATGGTGATAATAGCCAGCTATTGGATTGTGCAATGATTAATAGTGAATATAACCAGATCTGGGTTCTGTTCTTGTGATAGAGTTCCAGTTGAGGAATAACTGACACCATCTGTCTCAGGGTCTCTATTGCTGTGAAGAGATACCATGACCACACCTCCCCATAGGGGCCATTTTTCTTTTAAACCATCTCACCATCATAATCATTCTGATAAATACAAATTTTAAATACTGATAAATGTTCTAAAGAAATTTTTATTGCTGAAATTGTCATTTTGGAGCCAGGCAGGCATGGTAGCTCATGCTTATAATCCCAGGACATGGGAGGCTGAGTCAAGCGGATTACTAGTCTAAGGCCAGCCTGTGTTATAAATGAGACTTTGTCTTCAAAAACAAACAAGCTGGGGAGATGGCTCAGTGGTTAAGAGCACAAACTGCTCTTGCCAAGGACCTGATGTTGGTTCCCAGCACCCATGCCAAATGGCTCATATGTAACGAGTACGGTTTTTCCGCCTGCTGCCCGGTCTTGTCCTGCCACTGCGCCAGCCCCAAATAACACACAGAGACTCTGTATTTGCTACAATGCTATTGGCCAGGTACTAGTTTCTTATTGGCTAGCTCTGCCTTAGTTATTAACCCATTTGTGTTAATCTATGTATGTCCACGCGTTCTTCTTACCGGGAGCCTGCGGCCGCATACTGCTCTCTCCAGACTCTCCATCTTGACTCCTCCCTACTACTTCCTATTTCCTCCTTGTCTCCTAGTCCCTCCTATCTTCCTTTCCTATTGGCCAACAGTGCTTTATTATTAACCAGTATGAGAAACATACAGAATGACATCTCCCATCATCTCCTCTTTTCTGTCTAAATAAAAAGAAGGGTTTTAACCTTAACATAGCAAAATATATTATACAACAGTTATCAAGTAAGAATCACAGTTAACAATATTATTTATAACGAGTACTGTTTTTCTGCCTGCCGCTGCCCGGTCTTGTCCCGCCGCCATGCCGCCAGCCCCAAATAATACACAGAGACTCTGTATTTGATACAATACTGTTGGCCCTGTTACTTGTTTCTTATCGGCTAGCTCTGCCTTAATTATTAACCCATTTCCGCTGATCTATGTATTTCTCTTACCGGGGAGCCGGCGGCATACTGCTTTCTTCAGACTCTCCATCTTGACTCCTCCTTACTACTTCCTATTTCCTCCTTGTCTCCTAGTCCCTCCTATCTTCCTTTCCTATTGGCCAACAGTGCTTTATTATTAACCAGTATGAGAAACATATACAGAATGACATCTCCCATCATCTCCTCTTTTCTGTCTAAATAAAAAGCGTTTTAACCTTAACATAGCAAAATATATCACATAACAGTTATCAAATAATCACAGTTAACACTATTTAGTCCATTAACATTTAGCAAGATTTGAAGAAAATATTCCATCATCTATCCTATCTTTGTGTGTCTAAAGTAACTTATCTTTAATACTAAGGAAAACTATAACTATCTGTCTTCAACTCCTTCAAAGACCACAGAAGGATAGTATATAAACTCTAGAAATGACAGAGACAACTCACTGCCTGGTCACCCGAAGTTCTTTTGTAATCTTCCATCTTCAGCCCATAGGCCATAGTGTGTCTGGCAGACTCTTCAGCAAAGCAGGAAACTTTAAACTGTCTTCTTGTATTGGCAGTTTGTCTGTCACTTTCCTCTGTGTCCTGCAGACTCTTCCATGAAGCAGATTTCTGTAGCAATGTCCATCGTGAATCATCAGTCACTTTTCTGTGGGCCCTGCATGTCCAGTTTATATAGCACAAAGTCAAACAGTCCAGACAAGAGCAGTATTTTGTCCAAATGGCTAGTCTTGCCATATTGGAAGTAAACTCCATAATGAGTTTCTTTAATGTCCATCTTCCTTTTTTGACGCAGGTGGTGTTACCAGGAGCAATTATGTCTCATTGTCAAGTAAAACCCTAATCCATTTTAAATGCCATATTCTGTAGGTCTTTGAAAGGTTTGAAGAATGCCTATCTATCTCAAATACATCTCTGTGTATCTTGAAAAACCTAACTAACTTAACTCTAAGCTTTGACTATCATAGGTAATTATCTATAATCTGTAGTACATTATACAATATGTTTCTGAATGAACTATATAAACACAATACCTAAACAAAAGGAGAAATATATACATCACAAAATTGACCTTAAATTGTATCAATAAATGAAAATCCATTCCAATACAAAGTATCCATATCTATACCATAATTCCCTTTTTACCTTTAAAAAGAATATTGGTTGGGATCATTACCCATTTATAACCAAGTCCATTTAAATGAAACCAAACATTTATAAACAATATTTGGGAATTTGGGCGTCGTTCTTTCCAAACTACTTCCTGCTGACAGGGGGCGCTGTCATGGGTGATCATGAGAAGACACAGAAATCTTGGCTGTGGTCTGCAAGGCTGCTTTGTTCAGCTATTTTGAATGTAGGATCACCTGGTCCTGTTTCAGGGGGTCTGGCTTGATCAAACCACACAAGTCTGGAAGGAATCCACAGCTTTTTATTTTCTGTGGAAACAAAAATAGAAATCCTTTTCCCCAGTAACTTGTCCTTAAACTTAAATGTTGGAGTCAAAACATTTTTAAAATATATAAATTTAATTAATCCAGCAGCATTTCCTTTATCAGTTGTTATTTTCTCAGCAGTCAAACAATGTAGAGACAATACAATAGCATACAGTAACCAGATTCTCTCTGAGCTTTTCATCTTTACGTGCCTTTATTACTCTGTTTATTTTACTTTTATTTTTTTTTATTTTTTGACATAGGGTTTCACTGTGTAACTCTTATCTGTCCTGGAATTTACCCTGCATACCAGGTTTACTTTGTAAATCACAGAGATCTGCTTGCCTCTGTCTCCTGAGTGCTGGGATTAAAGGAGTGTGCTACAACACCCAGTTTCTCTTTGTCTATTTAAAACCATTTTTTTTTCATGTCTACGTATATTTTAAAACACACTGTAAACCTTTAGAGGTTCTTCTTAATATGAATCTGTCTTTACTGTAAATCTTTATCTTCGTCTGGCCACAAGTCTTTTATCTGGTAAACAACAACATTGCTAAAATGAAAGTCATAGCTGTGTCAGCCGCTGTTTACCAAAGATGGTGGCGGGTACTTTTACCGCCAGCACAGAAAGCTATGCTCACCGCCTTGGTCTGCGCTGCCACCCAGAAAGCATGCTGCCGGCTTGGAGATGTGGTCACTGCCATTGCCATCTCTCATACACACCAATAAATTGTTAGCAGAGTTACTTAAAAGCTGTGCATTTTTTTTTTCCGCTTATGCTGAGTCAGGAATCTTCCCTTAAAGGAGTCGTGCGAATATCTGCTTGTCTCCCGCAAAGCAGAGTTCAACTGAGAAAAATGCTGCTACCAAGAAACCTTGCTTGTCTCTGTTCTTTTGTTTCTAAAACCCTTTTTTAAGCTTTTGTTAAATTTTAAGTGGAAGTTCTTATTAGCCACGTGGGCGCCATTTGTAACGAGTACGGTTTTTCCGCCTGCTGCCCGGTCTTGTCCTGCCACTGCGCCAGCCCCAAATAACACACAGAGACTCTGTAT